CCAGTCCCTTTACCATGAAAAAATGACAACTTTCTTTAGGCACTTTCAAGAAGTGTCTTTCATAGGATATGACATTTCTTTCGTTCTTTATCTTCACCTGGGGATATGTTTCCATTGATTTTTAGAGAATGTGGAAGAGAAAGGGAAAGACAGAGAGAAACATCAAAGTGATGTTTGATTGGTTGCCTCCTGCATGAGCCCTGACCTGGGCTGGAGCCAGGGAGGAGCCTGAAACCTAGGTACATGCCCTTAGTCAGAATTGAACCCAGAACCTGTGGTGGGCAGGCTGAGGCATTAACCACTGAGCAAAACCAGCTAGGGCAGGATATGACATTTCTTAACCCTCCAGCAGCAGACCTTCCTTTTTTTCTCCAGGAGTGTGGTAAAAAACCCTAGATCACCTTATTGGATTCTTATTACTCAAGTTACTAAGAATATTACCAGTGGCATACAGGGAGCTTAGCCAATGAGTAGTCAGAAAAGGTGTTTCCTCTGTAGTTCACACCACTTGCTGGTTTGGCCCCTGCCCAGGCCTAACGCCTCTGGCCGAGTCATTAGCCCTGGGCCAGGGCACCCCCAGCTCCCAGCCACCGTGGCCATCAAGGATCGCTGGCTGGCTGCGCCCCGGTTCCGGCCGCCACCACCGACGATCCCTGGCTGGCTCCTCCCCAGCCCAAGCCTAAAGCCTCTGGCCGAGGCGTTAGGCCTGGGCCGGGGCACCCCCAGCTCCCGCCTCAGCCGATCGTTGGCTGGCTCCGCCCTGGTTCTCTGCCTCTGCCACCATCAACAATCGCTGGCTGGCTCCTCCCGGGCCCAGGCCCTAAAGCCTCTGGCCTAGGCTTTAGCCCTGGGCCCGGGCACCCCCAGCTCCCGCCGCAGCCGATCGCTGGCTGGCTCCTTCCCGGCCTAAGCCTAAAGCCTCTGGCCGAGGCGTTAGGCCTGGGCCGGGGCACCCCCAGCTCCCCGCCGCTGCCGCCACCAAGGATCGCTGGCTTAAGATCACTGGCTGGCTCTGCCCCGGTTCCCACTGCTGTGCCATCAATGATCGCTGGCTGGTTCCTCCCTGACCCAGGCCTAAAGCCTCAGGCCGTATTCTTCGGCAGCTCCCTCACTCTCTGGGTTTCTAAGCGGTGAGGAGATGCTGGCTGGCTGCGTGTGGCTATTTCTGTTGTTGCCCCTTTTCTCGCCCCAACAGGCAGGCCGCAGAGTCCCAGCAACAGCCCTTCTCGTCCTGCCACACTCCTTCCGCCTGGAGTGAGCCTTCACTTGTTACTTCCTGTCCTGTAAGTCAACTCTTCACTGTTTTTCCTGGAGCCCCATGGGTAAGTAAACAAGCAGATAAATCAGCAAGACTCTAAGCCGTCAGGACCCAAGTGCAACCCCATTATAGTAATAACTGGCATCTGTATGAGGCTTTGCAGTTTATAATACGCCTTTACACATATAATTTATCTTTATCGTCAAAACAAAGTCACAGGCATCATAATCATCTCCGTCTTACAGATGAGGCAAACCAAGGCTCAGAGAGATTAAATGAACTGTCTGTCACTGACATGTTCGTTGACAGGCAGTGAGCACAATAATGACTCCCCTAGACTGTGTGACCACACTCAGCCCCAAAACTATGAGAACAGAAACCAGAACCTGGATCTGAGAGTCTCCTGACAATTATGATGTAAAAGGAATCTTGATTTGCAATTTATTATATTTTCCAGCCATGTACATTATTTGGGGGAAATTTTGAGGCTATCCTTGACACATGCCAAGTTAAACATTTTTATTGGCAATGCTCATATCTCCCATGACTCACCCAGCCTGTAACTATGTCTGAGACGAACAAGCAAGCAAACAACACCTCTTTCTTTAAAAAAAAAATAGTTTTACTGGTTTCAGAGAGGAAGGGAGAGGGAGAGAGATAGAAACATCAATGATGAGAGAATTATTGATTGGCTGCCTCCTGCACGCCCCACACTGGGGATCATGTCCGTAGCCTGGGCATGTGCCCTGACGGGGAATCAAACCATGACCTCCTGGTTCATAGGTCAAGGCTCAACCACCAAGCCACGCCGGCCGGGCAAACAACACCTCTTTCTTATTGTTGTTGATAGTATTAAAATGATTGATAACCCAAGTCTCCAACTTAAATGCCAGGTCTTCTACTATTTGCCACCTGCAAGAGAGGGAAATCATAGGGAAATTTACAGGATGATTTGCACAGCATTTGTGATTTTGATGAGAAGTAAAATGCAATCCGAGTTTCCATGAAAAAAAAAAACACAGTAAAAACTGTAATGCAGACTCAATCTGTACTCAAGCCCCTCTGTTCCACTTCCCATATTTATTCCCTCGTCTGGGCCCAGGACACGCTTGACTCCTCAGTAGATTGTTGGAGCCAGAGGAGACCTTAGAGGTGGTCTGCTCTCTCCAGCTTTTTAATTCTACGGACGGAGAAGTGAGGCCCACCTGGTGACCTGCCCGGGGCCCCTCAGCTGGGCAGTGGCAGTTCTGAGACTGCACGCTGGGTCTCCAGACTTCCAGGCCAGGCTCTTCCTGCCACACCTGTTTTTGTGAGACTGACCCAGACACGTTGTGTTTGCGGAAGCTGCGTACATCTTGGCTGAAGGTCTCTTGCTGAGGCTTTTTAGTTGTCAGGGATGATGGGGTCCTCACCATGAAGGCCAGGAATCACAAAAGGATTATGACTCGCCAGAGGCTGCCAGACAATTGCTATATTTAAAAGACTTAGAGGCAGACAGCTGATTGGAGGGAGCAGGAGGCACAGAGGACTGGATGTAGAGTTTCATGTGGACAGCAAGCATATCTCTTGCATATGGACTGTATTTTTATTTGGGGAACTTGGGGGACTGATGGAGATTATAGCAGGTGACAAGGTCCCCTCAAGCCCCTCCTGGCAACATCAACAAACTCACATGCATAGTCACTCTTGGTATTCCTGGGAGGAGACAGAATCATTCAGTAAATGCCTTATAGATGTAAACAAATTTCTGAGATGCTGATGTGATCGTGCCCACACTTAGCCATCCACTGGGTCAGTAGATTGTAGGTGAGAGTTAGGCTTTAGAGTGCAACACACCAGGGTTCAGACGCGGGCTACTACCATTGTCCCACCAGGCCGACTGTACCCGTCAATGCACGTGAGCTACCATTATTATTGGTGGAAAAGATATAAAGGGACAAAAAGCCACTGTGGGCTCAGTTGGCTCACATTCATTTGTGTTTAAAAATCACAACAGCACCTACAAATCCTGGAATGACTGGGAAGTATGTGTGACTGAAATTATTCAGACAACAGTCCATGCTTTGTGTGAAAATGGGTGGATTTGAACCTGTTGCAATAATTACTCTGCAGTCATTAGTCCAAATTGCTGGTATTTTGGATATAGTGAAGGGGCATGGATTGGGGGATCTTACGGACCTGGGTTCAAGTCCGGATTGGCCATGTCCTGATAGTGCCATCTTTGGCAAGTTACTGAACTTCTCTGAGTCTTGGTTTCCTCGTCTCTAAAATAAGGGATAATGGCTACCTCACAGGCTTGTTGGAGGATTAAATAATGTCCATAGGAATGTGTGTATTCTCACAATTTGGGCAAAGTTTAATTATCTACATCAGTTTGAAAACAATTATTGAATTATTTAAGTGTCAGAGGGCCTGGACAGTAAGACTTTTAAACCAAAAGAACGTTCAGATAACCCCACTGCCTGAGAACAGCAGAGGAATACAGTATCTTCACACTCGACAGTACTTTCCATGTACTTTTATTACTTATATTCTCTAGGGGCACCTAGGGACAGCTCAGCCTCTGCCTAGTATTTTCCTAACTTAATTCTTCCTCCACTTTTTCTTCTCCCTTTCTCATTGTCCTGGGAGCCCCATACAAGTGGCCCAATTCACCCTGGACTGGGGTGGGCCATGGGCACAGCATCGATATGATGTTGCCATTGTCACTGGTGAAAGCGCATGTGTTCCTGAGCGCTACCTTGGAGCAGCTGGACTTGTGCAAAACCCTTTATTAAAGGGCAATCTGTTCTACAGAAAGGCAGGAGGGCAGAAGGAAATGCATCGAGGCAGTTCAGAGAGCCGCTTTGTGAGGGTATGTTCTCCTACGAGAGGTGGTTGACTCGTTGCCAGGGAGCCCGGAAAGTTGTTTGACTCGGGGTCTTTATTTCCCCTGCTCAGTCTCCTGCTCAGTCTCCCTCAGACCTCTCTTCACTTGGTGGATGTGTGGGAGGACGGTGTAGTCTCAGAAATGTCTCAGCTTGTGGAAGGAGCCAGGTCCCGCTCCTTCCTCCCCGATGGGAAATGTGCTCTGCCTATTTCAAGAACGTTCCTTGCATTTCCTGTCCCTGGGCTGCACCGTGTGCTTGGCTCTTCCTTTGGACATAGCATGAAGAAAGACACTCCATCCTCGAAGAAATTTTCATCCCTGGCCAAATACTGTTTCCCCATTTCCTCAGAGTTTGGGAATGAGGCTACTTCCTGACTTTGTATCGATCTCCCAAGAGCTAACCACTCTTGGATCTCTTTGTTGGAGGTAAGATTGGGGCAAGGGGCCAAGTTCACATATGGAGATTATGTGATATATTGGTGTGGGGATCGAATGATGATGGAATGAAGAATGAAGAGCAGGAGGCTGAGCATTTCCAGTAAACAACCAATCCAGGAATGAGAGTTGCTAGCATTTCCTGTTTAATTATCTTTTTTAGGCTAATTATCTGTTTCTTGATCTCAAATTTAGAAGTTGCTAGCCTAGCACAATTTTAGGTACCCAGAAACAATCCACCAAATATATGTTTCCAGTACAACCTGGGGGTTCTTTAGATTATTTAATTAATGGTGGTTAATAAAAGCTTTGAAATCCTTTTATTAAAAGGGTCACCTAAGTCCAAAGGACTATTATAATCAGGTTTAATGAGGTCAGTGGTTTAAAGAGAGGGCTTTAAACCATATATAAAGCACCTCCAGTGATCAGTGGTACAGAATGACGGTAGGAAGAGGCAGGTGAGTGTACATGCTGGTGTTGAGAAGTTCCTCACGGCGGTCGAGCCACACTGAAGTCCACTCAGATTGGCGCCAGTTGCTCAGTGATCTGCTGAATGGATTCTGGAATTGTTAAGCCCATGTTACAGGACAAAGGCCACCGCTTTGTAAAAGATTGACGTGCAGGTTGCTGTTGGATACAGAAGACGGCAAACAGAGAGGGGAGATTTTCTCTGCTGACCCAAGACGGCTGGCACTAAACCAGGTCAGTGCCAGCCTTCTCGGGCCAGCTGCCTTTTGAATAAAACTAAGAGTAGCGTCGATAGAGAAAGAAATGGAGCACAGCAAACCTGCGTCATAATCTCTAATTCTTCTCTCAGTGGTTTCTCTTGTTTTCTAAGGAGATACCAGAACGGGGACAAAATTACGGTGTGACTAAGCCTGGAGATGAGATGGGAGTGTGTGAGTGGGTCACATGTAATTAAGATGTTCACAGACTCATGTCAATGTGATTTGGAAGTAAGTTGAGTTGGGAGTTGATGCTTAGGAAAAAGAGTGATCCACTGAACCATAACACGGAGACTATGAGAATGACGCCTTGGAACTGGAAAAAGGGTATTGAATTAGGAATGACTCTGAACTATGAAAAAATCAAAGAAGTTCTATTTGAGGAACTTTCAAGTTTTAAAATTAACCAGGTTTTTCTTTCAAACCATAACAGGTGCTGTAGGATAAGATTCACCACCATGCTATCCTCTGTCCTGTTCGGGGGACTCGTTGCCCTCATTGGTGAGTAAGTCATCAGAGACACTTAGCACTGTTTGTAGGATGTCCAGGAAAACATCCAGCGCGGTCGTGAACCTGAGGGCAGTACCTTCCTGCAGTGGAGGAGTGGGCTCTCCTCTGACAGCCTGGCCATTAATCATTGTTTATTGTTTCAGTGACAAGTGTTTCCTGCTTGGCATGCAGGTGATGGTGAGATCAATGGGAATTTATCAGACAGGCAAGGCACCTGAAGAGAAAATGATCGAGGCGCTAAATACGAAATAAGAATTAAATGAGCCTCTATAGAAACAATTCACCTGGGAGGAGTTTAAGAGGCAGAGTCCACATCTAGTCAGGATGTTGAAACTACCAGTAGAAAGACTTTTTTTTTTAGGTGGGGGTCGTGATAGGTGAAGAATGCTTGGTGTTTAAATAGAAGAGCTCGCTGGATGGGAAGAAAGACGTTAGTAAGGTCACAGAGGCAGAAATGCAGGAAAAGTACTTGGGATGCAGTAAGCAGGTCAGTGTAACCAGAATAGAGAGGAGATTTCTGTGGGGAAGGCTGAACCATAGGCTGGTGAGATGGTAAGGGACCTTGAAGAAGAACAGATTGAAACTTCTGCCTGAAAAAAATGAAAAGCTGTTGTAAACAATGTTCAAGTTGCCTTTAATTAATAAAGTAAACTGAGAAGAAAGTGTTTCTAAAGTGTTTAATTCTCGAAAAATGTTCTGTTTAATTCTAAATTTGGAAAAAATGATGCTACTGAGATGACAATGTCCAGTTATGGTCAAAGGGAGGGGAACATAGTTTTACATTTTTACTCCTTTAATTGCCAGGTGGGAGCAGAGTTATAGAGCCCAGTAGACTAATTATGAGCTACCACACCAGCTGTGTTTAACTGACAGGTGACTCCAGTATAATTAAGAAGGCCTAAGGCAGTGGTTCTCAACCTTGGCTGCACATTAGAATCACCTGGGAATCTTTTTAAAATCCTGATTTCTGGGCCTCCATCCTCCGGAAATTCTGTTTCT